GCAGAAGACTGAGCTCTTCTTTGTTATTTCATTGTCTTGTTCTGCCTCAATTTTTTTAAACGACCAGTCAGTCAATAAAGTTGTTCATTGCTTCTGCCATATGTACGTAATATCCTCCTCAATAAGCGGTGAACTTGAGTTATGCAGATGAAGACAAGTCACTCAAAAATTTTCATTTAAATAGTTTGTTAGTTGTGGCATATTATGATTAATTTGTTATGCTGTATCGTTATGGCTGATGGATGTTTGCTTCAGGAGGTCGTGTTGAGTCTTTACGTCTGAGGAACTGGTGACTTTGCAGAAAGATATTTGGAGTGACTATAAAGACATGTATTAATTGACTCAGCATAGATTACTTCCTTAAACTTCAGCAGTCGACAGTCAGTATATTGTTATTTCTTAGACGGTTTGCGAAAAAAAGCTCAATTTACAGTTGAAATTGCAAAATAAACCACAAATTTAAGTCAATATGTGTATAACATTTGGAGATTCAATAGCAGTAGCTTTGTCTAACTATTTTTAAGAGACGAAGCATGGCTTCTATTACGATAAGGTGCGCTATTTTAATAGTGCATTAATTTCTAAATAGGATCTCATTTTGATATTTCTCTTTTTTTTTTTGTTAACATTTATTCGTTCAAGTACTAAGTGTTAAGTATAAATATTTTTGCTGACAGACATTAATGGCAATGCAAAATTTAGCTTTAGCGGTTCCATTTATTTATTTGTGCACTTTTTGTCCTTACCTTCAGCAGCTCTTTTGTCATTCTTATAAAAATACTACTTGATAAGCCGTTATTCGGTGAATCTGTACCTTATTAGAGAAGGACAGAATGTTTTTCGCTGTATGTTATTCTGATATGTTGATGAAAAAGTGAAAATTTTATTTTTCTTTTCTTTTTTTTTTTTTTATAATCATTTTGTCAAAGTAGAAGATAGTTATGAAAAACCAGCAATACTGATAGAATTGATTAATTTTTTTGTCACCTGAAAGACGAATGAGGAAAGCGATAATTGATGTTTCACCAGTTTTACTGTTCATCGATGTAACTGTTGTTAATATGAAAGCAGTAAGCAAAAGAAAAAAGAGAGAACAGTAACGATACAGATTTGTTGAAAGTTCCGCATTCAACGGATGATTACAAGTATTAGTTGTCGTACAGTACCTATAAGCAATCTTCAGGTTTCAATTGCTGTTAGAGCAGCTACTTTTTCTGTAAACTTTAAAAAACTGTACTGGTAGTAGTCACAGTAACATTTGTGAATATCAATAAAAATTTTCTTTCTATGAAATGCCAAAAAAAAATCCACCGACGTTATTAAAAAGTGTCGGCGCCGACAATTTGTTATGTGATATCCAATAATATGAAAGTACATGTGAATACATTGAAATTTTTAGATTTTTTATTACTTAAATATACGAAAGACTATTGTATTAGCGGTGCGGGGGGTACAACGATTAAAC